TCTCTCAAAGACTTTCCTTAATTTATCTATGTCATTGAGTCTCTGACAAGGCACAGACCAAAGGAATGAAGATGAACAGCACACGAGAGGGAGTGTCATGGGGGATAGACTGAAATGTCCGTCTCAAATCCATGTATAAGTGCTCTACACTTTTTTGGTAGAGCCAGGCTGCTTGGAGCTCTACACAAGACACTACACTTAAAACATTATCTACTTTTCATTACGGTATTGTGGGAATACGTTTGATTAAATTAACTCATCCAGACAATATAGTGTTTCCTATCCCTACCACCTCCTAGAACAAAAATGCTGCTAAACGTACTAGCTTTCCTTCATCCTCATCATTACTCTCTCTGAGCTCTGAAATTTTCTTAGCTTAAAAAAATTGTATGACAGCTTACTTTTGCAGACTGAGAGTGGTAAGGAGAAGCTTTGGGCTATTGACTAACTACAAGCACAAAGAAATGTACATTTCTAACTGATATTTTTTTTATAACCCATAACCCCTGTTCTCCTGGCTCTAAGAACAGACACTTTTAAGTATATAACTAATACTGATTCAGTGCTTAAAAGGAGATATAGAATGAGTATAGCATGGTCCATGAAGCCTCACCAAGTACAGCTGGGCCATTAAGAATAATGTGTGTGTGGTGGTGGGGGGTCTGATTCACACGGCAATATCCTTAAACAGCCTATTATCTGATGGACCAGTGCTTCTTACTTCGTGCTCTCTCTTCCATTCAGAAGCAAAGAAAAGGCAAGAGATAAAGATAACAGTCTACTAGACTATAAACTGTTCTTAGAGACTATAAAAATTAAACACACACATGCTATTATTGACCATTATATACAAGTCCAAAGATCTTACTGGTAGCAAATTATAAAATGTTTTAATATTAGTGTATGTTCAGAGTTGTTTTCTAAGTCACCTAGCTCTTCAAAAGTTGCAGTTCATCCTTCCTGTGTTTCAGTTTGACAAGTTATTGAAATCTGCAACATGCCTGACCATAGTCTTGGCACTGAAGGGGTGGGGAAACTACAAATGGTCTCCGATCATGAGGTACTTATAACCAGGTTGGGAAGAAGATGTTGTCCATGCCATGTGAATAAAAGGTGGTTGGTCTAAGAGTGAAAGAACACTCCGGATGTTGTGGGAGCACAGAGTGGGGGCATAAAAGAGGGTGGGAAAGGTTTCCTGGAGGAAATGCTGCCCCAAGTGAGTCCACTAGAAGGAGAGGCGTGGAACCAGGGGGCGGGACATTCCAGGCAGAAAGAAGAGGAAGTGCCTAAGGCAGAGAGGCATGAAATAACATGACGCCACTGTCCAGGAGTGGGGGTGACTAGAACTCCAAGTAATTTTGTATTTCTGGAGATTAAACAAGAGGACACAAAGAACCCTATATGTCATCCTGGCCTGTTGCTGGGATGCCACAGAAATGTCCAACTAAAATAATGGTTCAGACAGATCTGGGTTTTAGATTCGTTGCTCTGTCAACCTCTGATGCAAGATGGCATCTCAGGTGAGAGGAAGTACAGGCCAGAGGCTACTTCCTACAGCCTGGATTCTCCAGGGTCACTATTAGAAATGCAACTATTCCTAAATGTCCACTACAGAACAAATCTGGGGATGTCATGAGATCACTGGACCCAGGGAACAGTTTGATGACTCAAGTGCATCGCTGGGCCATCCAAGGACTCCCCTGAATCACAGACCACCTTGGATGATGGTTGGGTAACTAGCTGTTCCTGACACACTGCAAGTTGTAAGTGGGCAAGAGGATCCTCTGCCATTAAAGTGTGCTTTTCAACTCAAGATTTGGAAAAGAAGCTATTAGCAAACAGTAGAACAGACCTGTCAAAAATGTGTTAATTATGCTGAACCTGTACTGCGGTGTGCTAACAAACAGAAGCACTCTGGATATGAGGTGTTGCACTTGCCAGCTAGTGGAACATTTCAGTAAATAAAACACTGTCACCCCGCTCTGTCTCCACCACACTTCTTACCAGCCTTACAGGTTTTCTTGGATTGCCTCGGGGGAACTCAGGGGCTACAGCCATACGAATCTCAAGAGTTTATGTCAGATTTTAGCTCATTTCCCAACCCTCTGCAACTGTTCTTCATCCACCCCCAGCCTGAACAACTCACAGAAAAGTGCTAACCTATGAAACTCCAAAACAATAACACCATGTATTCCTAGCAACTGAAGGTCTCATTCCTTACCTCACACGTAGTCCCACACCACTTCCTTGCCCTGACTTCCTTATCTTTTTCATCGTTCAAAACAAGCCAAAGGTGAGCATTTGTTTCCAATATCCCTTCTCTAAAACGTCCTTTACCTTTTTGTCATCATGACCTTTTCCCTCAGTCATGCTAACAAATCTCACTGCCTCCATTTCCAGGCCATTTCCATCCGTACTAGTCCTTTCCCTTGACTTAAGTCCTGGAACCATTATTATTCCTTTCATAACAATGTATCTCACATTGGCATCCAAATTAACTTCTCCATTCTTGAAAGCCAGGACCAAGGCTTACGCATTCCCGCCTCCCGTCTGAGATGCAGGAGTAACACACCTGGCATGTGGACTCAGGAGACCCCTGTTTAACAATAATCACATTGCTGGCCGCAAGAATTTTTTTAAACAGCATTTTATTCAGAAAGGTAACAGAAAGGTCCTCAAGGGCCTTTGGAAGTAGACAGACACCGAGGACATTTTCCAGGTTGGTTAAAAAGAAAAAGTCAAGACTAAAGAGGTAGGAACCTTGACCAACGTTAAATAAATGCTTGAAACAACAAGACCAGGAGTGTCCTCGCTTTATGAAAGTAGTGTTTACAAACCAGACACCGTTCTTTCTGACACAGTTATCCTTACCTTCAACTTGATATTTTTCTGCATTAAATGGAGGGGGCTATGCCTCAGATAACCCAAAATGTCTACTAATGCTACTAATGCTACTAAATGTCATTCATTGGATAAGAACATGAATACCATGATTCTGGAACCAAAATCTGCTCCCTCACCAATGACAAAGAATTACACACCCTCCTGAATTAAGACATTCTAACAGCACTCCAACAGCTTTAGAGAAAGCGTGCCCGGGACAGCATCTAAAAGGGCAAATGATCCATCTACATAAAATCAAGAGGTTGATGATATATCATGTCTTTGAAGAGGGGTGCAGAATACTAAACGGATCCCATCACAGACCCCAGCAGGAAGGATTACAAACAAGGATGTTATATACAAACAGATAAACAAAATGGGCCCAGAGCAAAGAATACATATTAGAATGATAGACTTTTCCGCCAAATGACGAAGCCTGAAAACGTTCCCAATATGAGCCATCTGGCTGTGCACTCTTACACGTTCAGAAAAGAGGACAAGTAATTAAATTAATAAATACAGACATACTAATATGCGAATCTATTGTGAGTGTTATCAACACAATACAGGAACTTTTAAAAGGTAAAGCTAGAACTAGGCCTTCTGAAATAGTCTTCCCACGCACAGCAGCCCATTGGGCACATCCCTGAGGGTTCACCTCCCCACTTTGGAGCTGGCACTTTAAAATCCTCACGAAAGTACAAAGCCAAAGGTAATTATTCTATTACCTGGAAGACTCCTGAATTATTTTCTTCCCTTTGCTAAAGCAGATGTGCCCTGGATATCCAGAGAAAACCCATTAAGATTCTAATGGTAAAAAGTCAGAGCATGAGAAATGCATACAGAATTTTGGAAGCTTTGCACTGAACAGTGGCAAGAAGCTATGAAGTACGAATGACCCCAAAACAGAACTGACTTTAGTTTTTATCTAAACTGTGTCTCTATAATTGCTGTGATTTATAGGCTCAGTGCTTTAACCTGTATGCTGTTTCCGGCCACAGGAAGGAACCAGGTAGTCATTAAAAAACTGTCACATAAATAGCCACTTACCAGCTCACCTGGGAGCATAATGCTGGACAAGTAGTAAAGAATGCCAATTTTATTTATTTTACTACTTGTAAACTCCCTGAGGAAAGGGGTGAGCGGGTAAGTTTTCTGAACATTCAACCCTTAATTATCCATGCAGACCAGAGAAGAGTCACAGAGAAGTAAAACTGAATAATTAAAAAAAAAACTTTTGGTAGTCCCAGAGACGTGGAAGTGGGGTACAGACTGACAATCCCCAGAAGAGAGGGTGGTGGGGGAGAGATGAACCACAGAACTTATATGCATGTGTGCATGAACAATGGACATGGACAACAAAGCTGGGGACAGGGCAGGGAGGGAGGGGGAGGGGGGATCAGTGGGTGAGAAAGGAGAAACATCTGTAACAAAAATTAATTAATAAAAAAAAACTTTTATAATCAGCTTTGTAATGAATTCAGATACCACCTGGCATCATCTTTCCTTAAATTACACCAGCCCACCAACCCCAAAAATGGTAGAATAGAGAGGTCAAGGGACCACGCTCTAAGTACTTTCTTGAAAACTCAGTAGTTATATAACCTCAAGCAAGTTACTTAACCTCTATGATTTTCCATTCCCTTATCTGTAAAATGAGGAAGCTAATACCAACTGCCTTATGGTTCTGGAAAAGAGTAAATGATATATAAGTCATGGGACAGCACAGCACTTGGTAAATATCTGATAAATGGGTGCTTTAGTATGTTGGTGTGTAAGGTCTGGCTGGAAATCAGCAGGGAGGAGGGGAAGGGAGAGGATGTCAACATGGTCAAGTACACTGAAAGTGAGGTCGAATTGCTTTAAGGCCAACTGCTGTTCTTCTCAAAACATCTGAGGAGCATACATGTTCCCTATTGGTTGTGGGTTGAAAACCATGGTTTTTAACCAGATACGTGTTCTAGGAAAGCAAGAAGAGAAAGTTGCTTTTCTTCGTTTCGGAAGGGGTTTTCCTCCCTATGTTTTGGAAGCCCAGGTACCTGTCACAGGAACAGGAAACCCTGGTTCAGTGGGATGGAGCCTCTAGACCAGCAGAGATGGTGGAACTCATACGTTACCTGCGCCCAGTGGTTTTTAAATACAATCATGCATGTTTCTGGGTCAGCTCCCTGGAGGCTCACAGCCTTTTGGAGTCTGCTTTCCGTCACAGCCGATGACATCGTAAACCTTCATAAATCAATGCTTCTAAGTCATATTTAATTTTCATGAAAACTTCACTAACTTTCAAATATCATATTAGAAATGTAACTTCTTCACATTTCATTGTCACCTTCCAAAACCTGTAATGACAACAACAAAAAATGCATCTCATTATGTTCGTATATTAAATAGGACTGATTACTATATTTAAATCAAAGCAGAGACAAATTTTCAAAGCCTGACTCAGAACTGAACATCTACAAAATAGACGTTTCTATTTTTTCTTACCTTGCTACTAAAAACAAAAAAATAATGATGTTACCAAAGCTACATGCATAAATTAAGCAATTGTTGGGTTTATTCTCTCCACTCCCATCAACCACAACCCCCAGATTATAATTCTAAATCACTCAAATCCAATGTATATAATCAAGCAGAAAATTAGGATGCCAATGTCTGTGGAGCTTGAAAACATCCAGAAATAGGAAAACCATTAGTTAATAGTGACAAAAATAAGTGGCTTGATGAAACGTAGGGTAGTTATAAAACAGCACCCAGACTCCTGGGCCCCGTATTATTGAATTCTGTTTTTAATCAATGACTGTCATAATGGAACGGAAGTATTCTCGATCATCTCTTTGGCTACACACTAAGTGAAGGTTTCTAGATTTTCTGAAAAATAATAGAATTCGAAGTAACCTTGACAAATCAGAGAAATGGTCCATCAAGAACAAGACAGGCACACTTACAAGTGAAAAATAAATTATGTGGATAAAATATGAAGAAAGTCTGACTACAACAGACTCCCGGTAGGAAGAAAAGGACACGGAGGTCACAGAGCGGCCAGTGGGTATGATCTAGCGGTGTGGTGCGTCCTCTCTGACAAAAAACTAACAGTGGTGTTATCTCCAGTTTGAACAGCACATAAAGGAACTGGGTGCCATTCAAAATATTGGTTTTTTAGTGTATGAATTGATGAGAGATCAGGAAAAAGAAATTACACCGTCATCAGAGCTCTAGAAAACCAAATCCATGATCAAGTTTCCAGACTTGCAGTGCCCAAAGGAAAACAAATGGCTCTTCTCAACCGATGGATATGAAGGGCTTTACAAGGAGAGAATCAATCCACTGCTCCTCCCACAAACAATACAATGTAAGAAAGAAGGTTTAAGGGGATGAGTCAGGTTCGACTTAAGGGTCAAGTTCTTTGTGGGGAGTGGAATGAAACACTGGAAAATAATTAAGGTATAGTCAAAACAAGTGTTTCTGCTGGGGGTGGGAGGCTAGCCATTCAACAATTTAATGGCATTAAAAATTGTCAGGACAAAAGGACAGAAAACTTGCAAGAATTAATAATTCTGAAGAAAGACACATTTTTTAAGGAGGATGAAAGAAAATGCGAGTATATAAAAAAGAGGAAGACCTGTTAGAAGGACTGTACACACAACGCTCCTGAAGGCAACAGCTGTGTGTACCTTCTATGACTATATTTATTATTTCAATTGGTGAATTCCTCATTGTATAATTGCTAGTAACACAAAATTGTTTTCAATAAGACATTGTTCACTGCCAACCACAGCCCTTTGCCACTGAGAGGCATGGTTTCTGTTGGGCCCATCTGGTGCTTTGAAAATGAAGAGTAGTCTGGCTGGTGTGGCTCAGTGATTGAGCATCGACCTATGCACCAAGAGGTCACCAGTTCAATTCCCAGTCAAGACACATGCCCAGGTTGTGGGCCAAATCCCCGGTGGGGGGCATGCAGAAGGCAGCCAATCTCTCATTGATGTTTCTCTCTCATCGATGTTTCTATCTCTTTCTCCCCTTCACTTCCTCTCTCTCTAAAATCAATAAAGGAAAACAAAAAAAAACTTTATAAAAAAAAGAAAGAGTGGCCGCCTCTAACATGCAGGGTATGCATTCCCAGTCCCCACAATCCCTGCCACTCCCTGTGACCCGTCTCTTCATTCCCAGTCCCCACAATCCCTGCCACTCCCTGTGACCCGTCTCTTCCCCTCATTTTGGTTACCCAGCTAGCCCATAGAGATAACATTTCAGCATGCATCTTTGCTTTAAGTGATCAAAGATAGAACAAATTCTGACTCAACTTCTTCATTGCCCTAAACAGTATTTCTGTGGAAAATGCCCAGGCGTTGCCCTGGTCTGTTTGGCTCAACAGGGCATTAGCCCTTGGACCAAAGGGTCGCAGGTTCATATTCCTGATTAAGGGCATGTACCTGTGTTGCAGGTTAGATCACCAGCCCTGGTTGGGGCGTATGCACGAAGCAACCAATCAATGTGTTTCCCTCTCCCTCTCCCTCTCTCCCTTCTATTCTATCTAAAAAAATTAATGGAAAAATATCCTCAGATGAGGATTAATAACAACAAAAAAAGTCCAGGTCTGGCCCTGGCCGGTTTGGCTCAGCGGTTAGAGCGTTGGCCTGCGGTCCTGAGAGACCCAGGTTCGGTTCCCGCTAAGGGCACATACCTCGATTGCAATTTGTCCCCGGCCCTGGTTGGGTCGTGTGGGTGGCAGCCTCTCGATGTGTCCCTTTCGCGTAGATGTTTCTCTCTCTCTCTCTTCCCCTCTCCCTCCCACTCTATCTGAACAAAAAAATGGAAAAAATGTCCTCGGGTGAGGATAAAAAAAAAAAAAAGTCCAGGTCTTTTATTAAGATGGCATAATGATAATAAGGAAAATCAAAATATTTTGGTTTATCCCAGAGGTTGAAAAAGTAGAAGACTCCTTGAGATTCCTTCCAGCCCCAGGATTCTCAGATTCTTCTTCAAAGCTTTGAGGGGAACACACGCAGGTGCCAGCTGCCTCTGAATCAACACCAGAAATGCTCTCTAGGCTCCTTTAAGGCAGTTTTTAAAGGGACTTCACAGGCAGCCTTTCAGAGGGTGAGACCGCATTCCAGACAAGACACATATCTCAGCTAAGGTCATACATGTACAAGTTAGTTTTGATGGAAATAGAGTGTAAGTCTCCCAGTCTAGATTCTTTCTAGAAAACCATCTTCTCCTTTCTGCTGGCCACAATCCCCGGCCCATTGCCTTAAGGAATCTGGATCTTCTCAGAGAAAAGTGCATCTCACTTGGATGGTGCTTATCCGATCCTACTTTTGAGGCAGACGCCTGAAGAATCTAAATGGGTCGTGAATACGGAGACCCCAAGGTTGAGAACACCTGGTGGAGAATGAGGTGTGTCGGGCAAGTCAAGTAAACCAAGTTTGAGAACAAAACACGATGCCAGACGATCCTATAGATGAAAATGCTACCTAACACACCCAGAGGCAAACAGCTGACTATTTTACCCCTTTCTCTCTCACTCCATGTCAGACTAGTAAAGCATAGGCATGTCCCCAGGGCAACAGAAAATCCAAAGGAAAAGACACCACCATACTCATGAGAGACGCATACAGATATATTTCCTCAAGCACCAACCTTTTCAATACAACTCTGCCTTTGCCTGTTACCAGGTTTTATTTTTTTACTTTTTTGCCTTTTTCACATCCAAGATTTTGTGTAACTCTCCAATCACAGCTAAAAGTCCCAAGCGAAGAACAGAGAAGGACAAAACTAACCCAACAGCTGCGAGTAGGTAGCGGCGGCGGCCGCCGGAACGTGTGCTGTGCCGGGCATGGCATTCCTGGACGGTTCCCCTTCCTTGCCCTGTTTTCTCTCCCTCCCAAGGCGCCGGAAGCTGGGAATGCTGGCCAGTCTTGGCACACAGTCAGCCTGTTCTTCCCGTAAATACACCCAAGCACATCAACTCGAATTTCATGCCTAAGAGAGAGCTCTGTGAACCATCCAGACCCTAACGAGTGTGGTTTTTTGTTTTCTTTCTTTCTTCAAACAAACCACGAACACCAAAAAATATCCAAAGGGCTCTTTTTCCAACAGGGGTTTGATTTGGTTTTGTGGTATGATTGTTGAGTTTTCTGGTGTGGGGGTGGGGATGGGGATGGGGTGAGGAACTATCAAAACATATATATAACAGCCTGATATAGCAGCACAAATTCTATACTGAAAAGACAGAATTGACTATATTATTTCCAAAGATATTACTGGTAGTCAATTTATTCATCTCAATATTATACCTAAAAATATTTTCCATCAGTAAAGAAAGAAAAATTCTACTAAATAATTGTTGGAGACCGGGGTAACTACATAAAAATTGTATGTATTTTTACTGACCCTTTTTGGAAAGTATATGGTATTTTTTATTTGACTATGAAAAAAGCATGAGCATATGCTCCAACATCACAGGGTTGGTTATAGAAGACACTATGTGGTCATACAAGCTAGACTCTAGTCCTCCAGATCACCTCTTTCCAATGTAAAACTCATTCAACCTCATTCCCAAGTAAACAGATATCTGATCTAATTTCAGACTCTTTCAACATCTACAATACTTAGGAGAGCTACAAATGTGTCAAAACTACATTTTTTTCCTGAAAAAAATGAGAGACATCGATTGGTTGCCTACCGCATGACCCCAACTAAGGCTGGGATTGAAGCTGCAACCCAGGTATGTACCCCTGACCAGGAATCAAATCCAAGACCATTTGGTCCGAGGGCCGATGCTCTAACAATTGAGTCAAACCGGCCAGGCAAGGATTTGTTTTTATTGATTTTTGAAAGAGAGAGAAGAAGGGAGGGAGAGAGAGGGAGACAGAGAGAGAGCGCGCGCGAGCGAGCGAGAGAGAGAGAGAGAGAGAGACCATATGTGCCCCAACCAGAGATCAAACCCACAACATAGGTATGTGTCCTGATCAGGAATCAAACTCACAGCCTTTTGGTGCATGGGACAACATTCCATCCAACTGAGCCACCTGGCCAGACTGACTATATTTTAATCTATCTCTCTTTCACTACAAAGTAAACATTTTGGCATTTAATTCTATATTATCTTATACCATTCACCAATTATGTTATCTGTTTCAATACAGTATCATCTAAAAACAAATTATAAAAGATTCCTTAAGAAATGGATTGCCACCTTGAGGGGAGACAGAGCCAAGAGAACATTTTTATTGAGAAAGAAAGTGATCATGTTTGCAGGCCTAATGGGAAGGAATCAATGACCATGGAGAATATGAAGATTAAAAAAAAAAAGGATTTGATGGAGCAAGAGAAG